GATAGACCTATTTTATGGAGACCAGCAGCTCCACAGGACTCAAGAGGCTTCTTACCTGGGTATTGTTTTGGATTCCAGGCTAAGTTGGAATAAACAGGCCAACTAGATACTGGATATAGGCAGCATGAGAAATAGACTGCCTTAAAAGGCTTACAGAAGTAAAGTGGGGTACTATCCAAGATCTACTCTATACAACGTATAAATCTTATATTAGGCCTGCTGTCAAATGTGGTGGTGAACTTTTCATAACTGCTTCTAAGTTGATACAGAACAGGGGTGAAACTACTCAAATAATGCTGTGAGAATCATCACTAGTGAAGCATTTTCTGTTTCTGTTAAGGCTATGCAAGTGCAAACAAATATTGAGCCTCATCGAAGGGAAATAAGTGCTCTCAAGTTGGTTGAGAGATTTATGAGGTGTGGTGATTTATGTAAGGTGTACGATCCTGCAGACCATAGGTTAAAATCTCAACCTACATTTTTACATGTGACAAATGAACTGTCTAGTTTTTTTATCTGCCTTCTTTTAACAGACAGCCACTACTTAAGACTGGTGTGTTTCTACATTTGAATTCGGTAAATAATAATTTAGACTTGGTTCTGCCGACCAGTAAAAAGTCCTACAATGAGACGGAACTGAAGATGTTTGCTTTGGCCACTATTGGAGAAAGATTTCTAACAATGCATTGGTTGCATGTGTACACCAATGGTTTTATTATAGATGTTAATAGTAATGCTGGTGCAGCGGTTACTCTTGGCAGTTTACCTTTAGTGAGACTGTTGATGCAAATTGTAACAACTATGATGCTGAAATGACTGCTGTCCAGTTGGCCTTGACTGAAATCAGTAAAAGGAATGATCAGAACATTGTGATATTTATTGATTCAAGGGCCACTATTAAAGCAATTTATTCAGTCACACGTTCAAACAATGGGTCTGTTCTAAATTGTCAGCTTGTGATAAATTCTGTAATAAATAATGGTTGTAATGTTCCTCTGCAGTGCATCTTAAGTCATTGTGGAATCACGGGTAATGAGTTTGCTGACACTCTGGCCAAAGCTGGATCTGTCCTTCCTCAACCCAATCTTCCTGTTTGCTATCACACTGCTAAGAGAATCATTGGAGCCATATTTGGTCTTCAAAGTCACCGGTGAGTAAATTTATTTACAATGGGTGCGATGGGGAGTTATATAATCAGAAGGTACCATTAACAAATAACAATGAACGGAGAATATTTGAGAGAGAAATGTATTACAGTCCCATTAATTTGAGTTATTAAAAAAGAAGGTTGCCAGCTTAATATCATTATTCAACAACAAAAGTAAGGTTACCAGAATAAAATCTTTATTCAGTAATGAAATCAATGAATGTGTCTTATCACCCAGGACTTCACTTTAGCACTGGGGATGCAAGGTGAAAAATTGCTATGAGCAATCTAAGTTTTTACATTCTGTAGTCATAATTTATTTATGTAAAGAGCAATGTATTCTATTAAATTTCTGATTGATTAACTGGTGGAAATTTGGCAACATCTCCACCAACTTTCATATTCAGCGAGATTTCAGAATTGGATAAGATGTTTCATGTTTTAACCTTTGAGGGCAATGTCCCTGCCTTAGTGCATATTTGTCACTTTCCCTCAAAAAGTACAACTCTCTGCAAAAAACTACTTTTTAAAAACACATTATAGTTGTCTTTTTATTCAGTAGATGATAGTACCTCTAAAAATTATATTTCTCTTCTAAAATAAAATTAAAATGCATCAGTTTCCAAGGCAATTTTTGGTTTTTCAGAATAGAAAAACACATCACGTAGAAATATTTTTATTTATATATACATCTTCAAAAAATGTTGCTTGTAAATTTTATAGTGAAGAAAAAAACTTAGAATTGGCCGTTTCCTTCATCTGTATATGCTATGGAACTGGTGCCATGCTATAGTAGTTTGACACTTATCGGTCAAAACTAGAACAGTGTGCAAAACATACAATGTTGAACTGTTAGTCTTTGCATGCATAAAAAAAGGAGTAACATGCTGTGAAAAATTTCATACAAAAAATGAATATGCTCTTTAAAATTTTTAATATTTTATATCAGTTTTCTAATTATAACTTCAACTGACTAACTATATATATATATATAATATTACAAATTCAAAGAATTTTTATTTGTGATTTCTAATTACAAAATAAACCTCCTAAATGCATGTAAATGTTTTAAATTTTTTATAATTCTAAAATTTTTTTTTTACTTGTATTTATGTATTCATCATCTTGTATTGCATTGTATTGCTATGCATTTATCGTATATCTTATTTTGTATTTATGTATTTCTGTCATATTAAAATGTTTGTTTATAGTAAGATTTCTTATATATAGCATTACATGCTTTGTAGGTTCTAGATAAGTGGTGTTCTTGTCTTTGGACCATACTGTTTCAACCAAACAAAATCTGAATACATTTAGTTTGAGGAAAAACATTTTAATTATGCTGAAATATTGCAAAAAGTAACTTTTTTCTCTATTTTCAACAAATTTTCTATAAAGATTAAGGCCTACAAAATATGCCGATTTTTATGTCTGAAATGCATTTTTTGCCATGAAATCTTATACATTTTAGAATGTAGGCATTTTATATTCAGTTTGGTAAGAAACAAAGATGACTGTTTTACTAGATATTTCTTCCATTCATTCGGCTTTTCTATCTGAATTCCAATTTTTATATGCCCAACTATCCGGAAATTTCACATATTCAGAATTCGCCATTTGCCAAGCATTCCAGGTAGTGAAGCTTTTACTGTAGTACAAAGTCTGAAATTCAGGTACTCAATATTCAGAAGGATATACTGTCTTGACCTCCAGGCCACCAGTCAAAAAATAAATAATAAAAAATATCTCACCCATATGAAATGTCAAAATGGAGAATATAATACTCAACAAAAAGAAGTAAGTGTTCCATTAATGTGAGTTTTCTTCTCACTAACTGAGTTACCTGAATGTCACTTTTAAATACCTATTGGCTAGGCATTGTAGCACAGTGGTCTCAAACTGGCAGCCCATAAATGGCCCCTGAAGCAATTTTATGTGGCCCATGAATACATTTCATGTAAATTAATTATCATTATCTTGTCAAGAATCTGAAGGAAAAGTATTTAATATAGTTTGGAGTGCAATTTTACACTATTTTCATTACCAAAAATTAACTTGAGTAACTCTTTGGAAAATCTAGAAATGCAGCTAATTAACTTATGCTGTGATATAAATATTATTCAAAGATTTGAAGACACAAATTTTATTGACTTTTATTAGTACTTGTCAAAAGAAAAATATCCCCAGTTACAAATTTTTGAAATAAGAATAATCACTGCTTGGAAGTACAATTACATGCGAATTTTTTTTTTTTTTTTTTAGTTGAAAATTAAAAAGTCTATGAAAAAAATCAGGCTGCTGAAAGTATCTGCAGTTTGTGATGAAGATATTTTCTAGTAATTTTCTTCCAAGGTAACAGACGTTTTGAAAATCAAAATACAATGAGTTGTTGTAGCTGAAAGATATAGTAAAAAAACAAAGAAATTCATAATTGTTTACATGCAGCTATTTTTTTTTTCAGTATATGTTATAGAAAAATGTAATAAATAAAAGAAAGAGAATAATTTGTCAATATTTATTCTCAAATTTTTATGTATTTCTTTTAAGTAAGTTATTTAGTGATTACTTCAATGGGGGAGGGGGCATTACAATTGTTTGAATAAATGTCAGAAAATTTTTAAATTTAGTTGTCAATGCATTTGAATTATAAATTATAAGCAACAGAAATTTCAGGTAGAAAAACAGGAGAAATTTGGATTTTTTCTTTGCATTATTTTTTATATGTATGTTTTAATGCATGCTTAGCAATTTTTTTTTTTTTTTTTTTAATTTACAGCATAAAACCTACAGTATGGCTGTCCAATATTCAGAATGATCTTAATAACTGTACCTCTGAACCACCAATTCAATAAGTAAATAAATATATAAATAATTTTAAAATAACAAGAAAAGTTCCCTTCCCCACTTACAAATGTCTAAGAATGGAGAATATAATACTCAGCCAAAGAATGTATCATAAATGCTATTTTTCTCCCCATTAAGTGAGATTCCCTGCAGGCATGTCACTTTCAAACACCTTCTGATTAGAGAGTGGGGCAGCTTATGCACATATTAGATGCTGAGCAGAGTAACACTTTTGAACTCTTGAGTGGCTGTGAGGGTTTAGCACTCTTCTGTCTGATCTAAACAGTAAGTGAAACTCCATGTTGTCATGTCTTCATATCATTTTACAAGATTTAAACTGATGATCTAAAATCCGGAACCACTGAAGTTCCACCGATTCTGGATCTCAGATTTGGTTCTGTGTTTAACAGATTTTGTTTTGTGTACTTGTTTTTTTATTAAGGCCCATTAGCAACTTTCAATTTGTGCATTTGGCCCACATGCAATTTAAGTCGATTGGTGTTGTATTGATATTTTCCAGGATCACACTTTTGTCTCTTGAGAGGGGGATCGCTATGCATTTGCCATCTCGTGTAATCTCTGTGCATCCTAAATTCTATCTGGTACCTCTATAAAGTTTTAAAATTTTGCTGCCCGGTATGGCTGCACAGGCTGTGGCGTGGTCCTGTTGAGCGGTTAGCATTTTCCTTCCCAACATAAACAAAAAGCAAAGCCACAGTGTTGTTATGTATATATGTCATCTTACTAGATTTAAAATGATGATCTAAAATCCAGAAATTTCTGAAACCTGGAATTGCTGAAGTCCTGATAATCTTGCATTTTCTGAAGCAGTGGAGCTGATTTGTTAAGTAGTGTGGCCGAACTAACAAATGAGTTATTAAAACATATGCATGTTTTACCTTGAAAAATGAATCTTTGAAAGTAAGCAAATGCATAATAAAATGTGATTTTTGCTTAAATTTTAACTCAGCAAAGAAGAATTGGTAATTAAAAAGGTGTTTTTTGACAGGAGTGGGATAAAAGTCTTGATGTTGTAAAAGAAACTTTTAAACAGATGGGCTATATTGTGGAAATTGGCAGTACTACTAACTGGGATGTATTATGGTCCTATACCTATCCATTTCATACTCTAGAAAGAGAATTAGCATTTCTTAAACCAACTCAGAAGGTGAGTATTATGCAATTTTTAAAATGCTATTATATCAATGAAATAACTTGGAAGTACAATTTTGATAAAGTGTTCTTTTTGAAACATTCTTTTATTTTACAGGTGAATCATTTTCCTGGAAGTGGTTTCATTACTCAGAAAATGCATTTTGCTATGTTGCCTATTAATCACATTCCAAAATCTTTTCAACTTCCTGCTGGGAAAAACCAGTTTTTAGAATATGTAAGTATTACACATTGTGCTTTTTTAACCTGAAAATGTATGTTTCATTAATATATAGAGAACTGTTTTCATAAGTGTATTAAAAATGATTTTTTACTGTAGTTCTCCCTTCCTAGCAGGGCAGATTCTTTTTTTTCTTTTCTTTTCTTTTTTTTTTGTATTATAGCTGTTTATAAGTAAAAAAAAGTTGAATTTTTCTGAGCTTATCCAGTGGTACTTTGGTATTTATCATTAATTTGTTCTAGATCCTTGGACATATAACAAATGAACTTTTCCTATAAGAAGTGAAGAGAAAGTAAATAATTTGTTCTATAAAAAATCCTATTGTTATTATCATAACACTATGTAGTATTCAAATCCAAATGTAGTGGGTAAAATGTATATTGTACATGATACTGTACATAAATATTTCTGTGCTATTCAGATTAAAAGCAATTGTTTAATATGCTCTTAATGTCTCAGATCTTTGTTTGATAATTAGTTTTACCTTCTACACAATGTTAGTGTATTTAATAGCATCTTTGTTTTTCACAATAGTAGACATCATCGTACTTGCCATGGAGCATGATGCTATAACCATGTCTCAGATTCGCATGCCTTCATATTTTTCAATAATTTCCTTTTTCACCTCCATAGCATTCTAACAATTTTTCTGTCTCACTAACTTTTTTTAAAACTCATTGTTAATAAATTTACAAGAAATTACGTGAAAAATACAAAGCCATTTGAAAATTCAGAGTTATGGCATGGGTTGTTTACTGAACCAAAATTCTGATGCTCATGTGCAGTTGTAGCATTGCCTTTAAAGAAGTTAACTAGTGTAATGCATGCAGCCAAGACTTATTTAACTTGAATCATATTTTAAACAGATCTTCCATGCCAAATAAAAAATTTCTCACGCAAACAGGATGTATACCAAGTTAGATGTAGTTCAAAGTACACACAAACAGTATTCAAAGCAGACACATGCAGATGTACCACTGTCAGGGTTGCCACGCTACCTGGAAAACCGGGAGAACCGGGAAAAGTCAGGGAATTCGAAAATTGACCAAAAAATTCAGGGAAAAGTCAGGGAATTTAAGTATTTTGTCAAAATCTGGAAAAAAGTCAGGGAAGTTCATACAATGATCCGCCAAAAAAAGCGATTTTTTGGCGCGTCGGAAGAGAGAACTTTTGGCGAATGCCTATCACGTGAGTGTCTCTGGCATAGAGCCAATTTCGCAGAAAGGCAAAGCAAGTTTCCGCAATGGTTTGGTTTCCAGTATTTTCGAGAATCGCATTGCGGTGCATGAACTAAAGAAAGTACCTATTCTCGTATAACAAATGGGTTTAATCTTAGTATACGGCACCATGGAAGTTAGAATAAAAGAATATGATTGTAAAGAAGGAAACCTCTCTGCAACAGACGTGCTCTGTCCATCATAGCGGGAAACAGCTGTGCATGCGTGATATCTCTGCCGCCAAAGCTGGAAACCGTTGTCGAAGTTCGAAGGTCACGTTATCAAGAGTTCATTAAATGAATATCCTTTAAAATTTCTTTAACCACTTGCGCTAAAAAGACGTGCACGCACGTCGAGATGTTTTTTGGTTTCAAACTGCGAGCGACGTGAACACCACGTCGATAAGCATTTATCGCAAAAATGAAATAACATTTTGCACACGTCGCCTACAACGAGATTGTTTATTCTCGAGTTACAGCTCTGATTGCCTCACAGATGCGGAGCGGCGTAAATGAGACACTTTACCATTTGCTATATTCTAGCGACGGCACCGCAAACCGTGAAGTTTAGTCTTAGCGCAAGTAGTTAAATCTAAATTAAAGAAAATATTTTTTGGCGCAAGTAAATTAATTCATAAGTTAGTAATTTTCCGGGGGGGGGCGGAAAACTACGAAAATCCGTTTTAAAAATTATTGGAAAAATCCAAGAAGAAACGTCCTTTGATAAAACGTTTCTTCTTGGATTTTCGCATAATTTAAAAACGGATTTTCGTAGCTTTCTTTTTGTCAAAGAACGTTTCTTCTTAACACGTTTCTCAATTTCCGGTAACATCGCGGAGAGGGAAATTCTGGCCGCCAGGTTCCGTCGCCAAAATCCCTTGGCAAAATTTCCCTCGCATTCTAGCGGCGTATATCATTTTACTGTATGGAAAATTTTCTTCTTTATATAGACCAAAGGATTGGAGATTCTTTGCTTTTTTAGACGTTTTTTGGTTAAATAATCTCCCATGTATGGATTGGCGACATGATGATGCGCAGTAAAACGGATCATTTTGGTCTTGGCGACAATTTTCAAATCGTGCAAAAAGCTTACCGTATACTAGAATTTTACCGCAAAATTTTTTTTAAACTTTTCTTTTTAATAAATACCTGCCATTTTGCAGTAAAATAAAAAATAGTATCTGTCATCTAGGCTAACCATGTAAATAACTATATTCGCTAAAAGATCGTTGATTATTCTAATTCAATTTTTAAGTAATTATCTTTATTTTTATGTTATTCGTAAATTTAATGATGCTTCTTCCCTCTAAATTTATTAATTATTAGTAAATAATATTTCTAAATTTCAGGAAATTTTCTCTGCATAATCTTGAAATTAATTCTAGCAGTATGATGACATACCATCACGAAATTTAATGCCATATTTTTTTCTTATGTATGCTGCGAACTAAAATATAAAATACCTCAAGTTATTAAAATAGATTCTTTTTTTCGTTTAGCTGCAGAATGTCTGCAAAAAAAGCCTTATTTTATTCCAGATTGGGAAATTCTAATCTCAATCTTAATGGAGAAAAACAACAACTATTATATTATATTGTGTTTTTCAGTGTTAAGGTGCTTTTTAAGAACATACCTCACACAAATTAAATTTACCTAAAATCTAAGCTATTTAGCATTGCATTGTAATTTTATATTTGTGTTTTCAAGTGTTAAGGTACCTTTTAAGAAGACACCTCACACAAATTAAATTTGTCTAAAATCTAAGCTAACTATTTAGCATTGCATTGTAATTTATAAGGACCGGATTAACCTCGTATTGAACTGGCGATGATCATGAGTAACAATTAAATAAAACATACAATTGTTATCCAATGTATATATTTTAAATTTTATTAAGCTTCTTAAGTGGAAAAGTAAACAAAATTATCAAACGAATTATACCAAGAATAATTAAGAATAAATGTCACCTGGGATTTAGTGAATAATTAAGTGAATTTGCTACACAACACAAGTAATACCATAATTTACCTCTTAGCGTAGCCAACGTACATTACGCGGATAGACTGGAATTTTCTTGGAACACACCTGGAAAACCTGGAAAAGTCAGGGAATTTCATTCTCCTGTTTGAGTGGCAACCCTGCACTGTATTTATTATTATTCAAATGGAAGTATTTGAAATTTTCTTGTGGCATTACATTTATGGCATGCATTTTTGTCAAACTGAATTTAAAGATACAGTCAAAGAGTTATATAAAATTAAATATCTTACAAAATTTTAATATATTGCCTCTTATCAAAGATGGCATTACTTATAAGACAACTCCATTCCATAACATTCCATAAAATAATTTATAAAGAAAAAAAATATCTTGCATATGCTGTGTTAGGGAGTTGGAGATGAACATTTATGCAAGCAAAGTAGTTAAATAATCTAAATGTTATTTCTTCAGCTAAAAGTAAGTAAATGGTTTCTTTTTAGAATAAAAGTTCAGGAATAACTGGAAATTTATATTTTTAAATTTTAGGTTAAAGGCATATGACAAAGGAATACTTACATATTATCCTGTTGATTTTGAAACTATTGCCAAACAGTATAATCTAGCACCAGTGTTGGATGACGTGATGTTGCAACACACTTATGTCTGATGTAACCCCAATTAATTCTGAATAAACCACACTGAATCATATTTGTAACTGAACTCTGGCTCAAATTAACAAGTAATTGGGATGAGTTACTTGTTAACTAATTAACAATTAATTAACTCATTAACAAGTAATTAATACTCTGGCTCATTAACAAGTATTGATATAATTAACATTTCTTGAATATGAAATGAATAGCTGGATATGACTGACAGAATGGTCCTATATTGGGACAGTAACCTAAGGAAGGTTTGTACTCAATTCTAAACAGAGCTTCTCGTAAATCTGAGAGCCTAACAAAATAGTAATAATCATTATCTGATGTGTTATTTTAACTCAAAATAGTAGAAACCAATGGAAGCATTTTTACAAAACAAAATAACAAAGCAGGTTGAATACTTTTGCACAGTTGCTGTTTGGTGGATTGTGCAGAGAGACTGACGAATGTTTTGCTATAAGAGCTGCAGATAGAAGTGCAGCTTAGAGTTCCACAGGAACAATTAATTTAACTTGTGCAGGATCTCCGCCAGCTTTCATGGTTCAGTGGTAGATAACTTTCACAGTCTGTGGGATAATACTTGTATTGACAAAGGTTTCAAAAAGACATTTTAAGAGAAGAAACAGCATTCCTCATATTCATACTAATGAGCTATATATGAAATGCTATGGCAAAAAATCTCTCCTTGACCAAATGAATAAAAACTTGCTAATATTAAGAACTAATAATTGCATTCCAAGTTTAGTTAACAATAGAATACATTTTATTACAGTTTTTACAGTCTCCCCTCCTCCAATTTAATATAAATAGGTACCAGTATCTATTAGAAACTTCATAACTGTAGCCTGTTGAAAGATAGATGTAGCACTTATAAGGATTAATGTCATCAACTACCTGTTTAAGTACTGTGTATGATAAAAATGTTCTTTCTTCTTGTAAAACACATTATTTTCCAAAAATCTTTCTACTTAATATGTTTGTTTTATGCTTATTTTAATATTATGGTTTTTAAACACCTTTTTTTATTCTTGTCTCATGATGGATGAGCTTTTAAAATTTATATATACCGTATGTATTATGTATATTTCATTCACATTATTAATAATAATCTAACGGTAAGACATTTTGTATGCCAAAAACATAGCAGGCTTTAGGATAAATTTAGTTCTTGTATTCTGGTATCTATCAAATGTAGCCATAAATATCCCTATTATCTTAAATATCATTATATAAAGCCATAAATGATAGATTAATTATATTCAAAGTTATAAATTTTTATTATCTATGCAATCTTATTCTTAATACTGGCAATTTACTATTAAAAGTGAGTTGTCTAAGTGCTAATTAGCTCTTTACTTATAAATATGGTAATGACAATTGTGTTTACAAATATGGTTGCGAATATTTTGATGTTTACAGTTGTGCTTCGAGAGCTGTGAAAGGTGCAAAGGTTGTTGCAACCCATTTTGTATAATCAGAATGCAAATGCATTTTGATTGCAGCACGAAAGGCTGTTAATATAATTTAAAAGCTGGCATTTTGTTTGAAAACTTTAAAAAAAAAATGTTTATTTGTATGTTTATAAATCAGAAATAATTTGAAAAATTGTATGCACTGCACATACAATAAATGATTAAAAGACAATGAAAATTCAATTTCTTAAACCCTGAGTTTGAGATATATTTAAAATGGTACTGATCATCTGCATTTTTCATGTTATATTTTATTGACAAATGAAAGAAGTAAGCAATAACTGCTTTTTTAATTTTTTTAAAGGCCTGTTGTAATTTTTTCCTTCCAAATTGGCCTCATTTTAAATTAAAAAATTACTGTGAAAAAATAATCAATAGAAAAATTTACTGTCATGTTTAAACAATATTTTTTTTTATTAATGACTGAAATGTATTCCATGATGATGAATAATATTCAGAATACAATTTCAGAATTGTTTGTTTACATTCTGGGGAAAAAAAAATCAAATTCTTACTCTTTATACAAACTTTCTTCACTAAAATATTAAGGAAAAATAAATTGAAAAATTCTTAGTGCATACTAAAGAGTTTCTGCTAACTATGTTTTAAAAAGTATCATTATTAGTTTAACAAAAAATATACCTGCAATGAAAAAAAGATCTGCGAGAATAAATTTGTAGAATAATAATATATGTGTTCTCATTTCTTGGTGTGCATTACAGTTACTGTGCCACCGTAAGGCATGCATCAAACATATGAGATAATGGCTGATAGCTAATATGGGGAAAAAAGATATTTCAGCAATTGATTTTATAAAAGTATTAATTTTTGAGGAAAAAGGAGACTGTATGCCTATTAACTGCGATTTTAAAAGTTTTTTCTAGGACTGTTTTATTTTGTTTTATATAAAATATGATGTAATGAATTTTTATTTCCTGTGTGGTAAATGTTTTTCATCTATTCGTGTCAGATAATACAACATAAAATTTGTCTATATCAGTTAATCATATAAACCTGCCATGAAATCTTGCAATATAATGTTTAATATGCTAAATATAAAGAAATATATATATACATATAAATTTATTTCAGGTTGCTACAAATATTGAGAAAACTTGGGTGTTAAAAAATCCAAATCACCGAGGCATCAGATTGCTGAATGGAACTGAAAGTTTGGATGCAAGTGGTTATTTGATTCAAGAATTTGTGAGCAAGCCTCTGCTTATCAGTGGGAAGTGAGTGACATTTGCTATACAGTACAGGGTCTGAAATCCGGACTCACAGGGATTTCAGCGATTCCGGATTTGGGATTTTTTCGGAAATTACATCATCAGTTTAAATCTAGTAAGATGGCATGTAGAAATTATAAAATTAAAAATATGAAATCATGATTTATGAAATAATGAAGTATTTATGATCTAAAGACTATCAAAATTTAGAAAAAAAAAGCTTAATATTTATTTGTTTACCTTATTAAGTATTTCTTTCAATGCAAGTTGCTTTTTTTTTTGTGCTAATACTTTCTCTTTAATTCTGTAGATAATCATAATTTCTTTAGTTACATTGTTGAAGTCCTGTAACTGCTGTTTCGAGAATTCCAACTAACTTGTCAATCAAAATTTTCTCTTTTACGGTAACTTCTTGGTCACTTTTTTCACTATCGTTAGGGGTATTTTCTGGATCTAGAATCATACTACAGATTTTGCTATTCATTGGTTGATGATTGAGAAGCATTGTCATCACAATAAAAAACTTCTTTTATGTCATCTTCATTTATTACCATTTCTCCACATTTCCTTACAAAATCCGTTAATTGGAAAATTTCACCTTCTTTTGTGATATCCGAAAACCTTTAAAATTAGCGTCTATCATTATCAAATTTAGCTTTCATTCACTACACATATTTATATATGCATCTTTAGCTTGGCGACTAACGACAAGTTGTTCCGTTAAATTTTATCTTGCTTCTATCGCTCACTGAGACAATTAAGGCTGAATTGTATCAGTTTACTTATTTACTATACCTATGTCTATTTCCTGTACATGCTTAAGGCTATCAGAGTTCTGAATAAATAAATTCATATGCCCACATATATTTTCCTTGAATATATGTGGGAATTTATTCCCACATATATTCAAGGAAAAACATGCGAACAATATTTGTTTTAAAGTAATGCCGGATAGCACGTTACTTTTAACAAGCTGTGTTAAGGCCCAAATGAAGAAATCAATTAATTACGAAATATATATGCAAATTTATGCAGAAAATGAGGTAAGATTTATAATTTTTCTTATGCATGATGTTTACCAGTATTAATAATGTTTTCATTAAGAATATTAAGTGTATATCTGTTAATTGAAAACTATTCCCGAAACCTTGAATAACGTTTTCCAAACTTTTAAATGTAAGTGTAATAGTATATTCATACGTAGTAAATTTGAAATAGAATTAGGTTAAAATTATTTATATGCCGAATATATATATAAGAATTTTCTTCATTAATATTAATAGGTCAATTTTTGAGCTAAAATATTAATTTCATAGGATATGTTTTAATATTTTTTTTATATTATTTTTAGCTATTGTAACGATTTTTAATGAATACAAAAAAAACGGAATGTTAATTTTTTTAATACCTTCCATTGTAGATTAAGGATACCAACAGTTGTAACATTAGAAGCATCAGAATACTGAAACCTTTTAATATAAAAGATGCTTTCTTCGAATTTGTACTAATTCTAAATTTTTATGGAGATTGCTGAGTTTTTAGTTTAAATATTAAATTAGCATGTATATTTAGTCCTCAAATCAGTGGTTGTGCCAAGTCCTAGTTTGAGATAATGTGCCTTAGGTATATGCATAGAATTCAATAGTTTTTCCTAAACGTAGATCTTTTCAATAAATACGCTTGAAAATTTTTTGAGCTACATGATTTTAAATTAAAAAATTCTGCACATAAATTATATTACTTACAGATTAAAAAATAACTCAAATTAATTTTGAAATATTTAAAATAATACAGTAAAATGTAATCCATGTATATTCCCCCCCCCCCCCCCCGGCCTGAAAGACAAACTTTCTGCGCATGCTCGTTTAATGTATAGCGGACGGTATGAGCTAAGCTAAAATTATCTAATTATCTATTTCAGTTCATGTTGCAGATCAAAATCTTCTTGCTTAATCTTCAAATTGGATCAGGCTTATTATTTTTTGCAAACTGTTAGAGCAATTTTATAAAAGTAAGGTTGAACTTTCGATTATGTCAAAAAAAATTTTCCAATTCTGGAGCTGCCAAAGGATCTACAAAGCGAAAGCATGTTTCGATGTCCATCAAACAAAAAGTGGAATTGCTGCAAAAAATGGATAAAGGTATATTCTTTGGTTTTCTAACCATTCCGAAATCTGTTTATCAATTTCAGCTGCTCTGGGGGGGGGGGGGGGGGGGGGGGGAACGTTGCAGCACGCAATGTGGAAGTAAGTTGATCTGTCAGCAGTATCCTTATCTTCAGGGGAGATGTTTTATATTTGGCTTATAATTCTGTATTAAATGTAGTATTTCACTCTCGATTTACTCTGTCTTTGATATGATTTAAATCAATTCCTCGCATTATAATTCACTTCCGTAGTGAAGAAAAGGACACAGAGGTTATTGAAAACGAAAAAATTTCAATTGAGAAATTAGTCGGTATTCTCGACCACAGCAATTAAGGTCTTCAACAGCGGAACTTTGAACTGAACAAGAAATTATGTTGTTATAGAATTAAGGAGAAAGTATTATCACATAAAAAACGAAGCAACTTAAACAACTACATGAAAAGAAATGTTTAAAAAGTAAACAAATAAATATTAAGCTTTTTTTTTTTTGTAAATTTTGATACCCCTTTAGATCATAATTATTCTTTATTTAATAAATTACGGTTTCATATTTTTAATTTTAAAATTTCTGCTTGCCATTTTACCAGATTTAAACTGGTGATCCGGAAAAATCGATAATCCGGAATGGCCGAAGTCCGACGAGTCCGGATTAACGACTTTTGACTGTACTAAAATACAGATACGTAGCTACCTTGGTACTGTGGGCTTGCGACACTTTTGACGGATGCTTTGAAGCGGAAAAACAAGAAAGAAAAAGTGATTTGGACAAAAGAGTGTGACAAGGCTTTCAATAAACTGAAGACCAAACTAGTAAAAAGTCCGGTTTTATTTGCACCAGATTATTCTAAAGAATTTATTGTGCAGACAGATGCCAGCTTATGTGGTGCAGGTATTGTGTTGTCTCAAATTCAGGATGGGGAGGAACACCCTATACTGTATCTTAGGAAAAAGTTTATTAAAGTGAAGCAAAATTATAGCACCATTGAAAGAGAACTAGCGGCCATAATTTATGGACTGAAGAAACTAAATCATTACTTAGATGGACAAAAATTCAAGATCCAAAATCCATTGACTTTTTTAAACAAAATGATGGGATCAAATTCTCGTTTGACTCTCTGGGCATTGTGTCTCCAGCAGTACAACTTTGAAATTGTTCATAGGCCAGGCAAATTACATGGTAATGCAGATGGCTTGAGTTGTGTCCTAGTCTAGTGACTGAATATCACTAGTGGATACAATGTAAGGTAAAAGTTAGTGAAAATTGGTGAAAATGGTTTTTGTAGTGTTTTGGAATTATATTTGTCTGGATTCAAAATTTAAATCTTTTTAATGTATTTTTGCATTTAGGTTATCTAGAAATAAGTGCAGGGTAATGTAACGGCTTCTTATATCACTTAAATGGTTACCACTTGTGTTTTGGAAGCAGTGAAAAGTATTTAGAATTTTTCCTTCCATAGTCAAGAAAATTTCCTTTATGAGGGGAGGAGTTGTGATAAGGTCATATAAAGGAAGAAGATATTGAAGATTTATATGGACAAGGATATCTCATGAGCATAAGATAAAAATTATTATTATTTAACTTCCGAATACATTTTCAATAGTTGGTAAAATAGTTGTTATTAAAATAATTAAATTGTTAGCAATGTTTCAAACGCAGACTCGAGAGCCACGCATTGCTCTCGCACTTAAAATGTATAGAATTTGATTTTAAGAAAAAAGGTAGGTTTTTCTCTTGTTGATGGTATGTAGCCATTTTTTTGGGGGGGGGGCGTTCAATAAAATTTTCATGTGGTGTTCCATCATTAGCGTTTTCATTGGAGTTTGACACCACATTGTTGAAGCATTAATAGTACACCACACAATTGTTAGCACTTTCTATATGATGATACTGCCGCCGAATCGGTATAGTGGTTAGGATAGATGACTGCCGTGCCGAAGGGCCGGGGTTCGAATCCTGGAGAAGGCATGGATATATGTAAATGTATAGTGTTGATGCGGCATGGGGGCAATCTAAATATGCGCGAGCCAAAAGTCCTCTCATGTCGTTTATTGGAAGGGGAGAGGGATGGGAGACCCTAGGACCCATCCCCCAGGTGTCATCCATCAAAACTGGGGACAGAACTCATCTAAATCGCACTGTCACCATAATGGTGCTCAAGGCTGTTATCACCGGCACGCGTAATGTAGCGCTCCTTGCCACGAGGAATTTCGTGGGCTTGGGCTGACTACATCAGACACACGAGCATAAACAACAACATACGATGAAACTAAAACATTTTTAACTGTACTATTACTAACCTTCTTTATTCATAAAGGCACTTATATGAAATTTTAAAATCCATAGCACTATTAAGCTTCATTCTACTGAAAAATCAACCGATTCTAATATAATAATTTTGAGTTTGTTTGATATACTATGCCATTAAAAATAGCAGAAAGGAAAATAAATTTATCATACATAAATTTGAAGCATGTTCCTTAAACTGAGATTAATGACCATCAAAAGCACTGGAAATGCATAGCTGAAATCATTTGGAATATTCTTACCATCAATCCCTGAAAATACTCATTAAATCATTTTTAATATAAACACTATGTTGGATAAATTTTTGAATGCTGCCATAGAAAGATGATAGGAATTGTTTTCATTAATGGATATTAAATAGTCTCATATGGATGCAGAATAAAGTAAAATTAGTAGTTACAGAACAGTTTTAATCCTTACCATTAACACATTTCAGAACTCTATAGATAAAGCTTTACATTGATTATATGCAATAAAAAGAATTGGTAACTTGGTAATTATAACTTAAATTAGGAATAGCCCTGCAGTTCCTCCCCTTTCTGATCTAAATGGTTCATAATAATTTTTCTGGGCTGCATCTTTGCATTTCATGGTTGCTTTTGTAATCCACCTTCATTGCAACAGAGTGTATTCCCTTAGAAAGTCCTTCACAAAGGCATCACTCTTCCCTTAGGTCTCAAGGCTTTGCTGTAATCACATAAACCAAACCAACCAAACCTTTGTCTCTTCAAAAGCGTAAGTTGTATGAAAAGGAGGTGCATACACAGCCATAAAGATTGATTTGGCTTTCTTATGCATATCTTGTTCTTAAGCGTAAAATTAGTGTTGCCCCCACCCACCCTGCTCCTTCTTGTCTGTTCTCTCATCTTTATCTATGCAACTGTTTTTCTAATCCTCAGGTTTCTACAGAAACATGCCCCCGGGGGCGGGTTTAGCCACGGGTTTATTGACTGTATTTTGTGTGCGAAATTTAAATTAGCAAATTTGAATTTTTATTGTTTTTTTATTTATTTTTTTTACTCCCCTATAGTGCCTTTGTAAAAGGGTCTTGATATTGCCTGTGTTCATTAAACAAGGTTGCCGTTTTTTATTTGCATTAGATTTTTATTAGTGTTACCCCCGTTCAACAAATCAAAAAATGATGCCCTTGACCCCATTTTTAATTTCTGAAGAGGAATAAACAATTGAAAAGTAGAGAAATAAACAACGTTAAAGTTGCCTACATTTTGAGACTTGGTGAGATATGAAATTAATGTTACTATCCCTTTTGGAACAGTTTTTTATCCAGTAACCACCTTTTAAACAAATGCCGAAAGTAACAAAAATAACTATAGTTAACCCTTCCTTTGGATAAAGCATTGTCCCTTGAGACTTTTCCACAGATAGACGAAAAATATCCATGCTTTTTACATTTGCCTTCTTAGAAAAAGGGATTCCTTTTTTTAATTTTGACCACACACACCACCGTACATTAAAACGTCGTTTCCGGCTGGGCGGGGTAACCTTTTTGGGTTGTATTAGAATTGCGTATTAAAGCCCGGTTTGAAAAGTGCATTTGATAATTTTTCCTAATGCCAACTTCACCCTCACTACACACCACACACCAAAAAAGACCAATTTATGAAGACTTTTTTTTATTTTAACAGCAGGCTTAAATAGGATGCCACAACCACACAAAAACGCAAACTGAGATTTGAGAGGGGCAAAAAAGAGTCCATGTAAAATCAAACCAACAAATATAAATACAAATCAAGATAAATATAAATACAACCATCACTACCACGCGTAAAGCAAGCTTGCCAGCCAAAACCTCCCATAGCTAGGCTGGGCCAGCAAGACTTTGTTCCGGTCACTCCAGGGTAATTGATGGACAAATTTGAATGAAATGCCCAAGGCACAAAACCATGTGGGTGGCAAAAACTTACAACCCCAGGGATGGAAACCCTAGCTAGGCTGAGAGGTACCCCAAAAAATCAGAGAACAATCCAGACTATTTTATGGATTTTACCTCCGCTGCACAAACTTCATAAGATATACATAAGATTTTAAAGAACCTTTTCTTGTCATAAAATTTTAGTTTCTGGTTAAAATTGGTCCAATATGTTCCCTTATTCTTTTTTTTGGTACAAGATTATTTTTCCAGTACAATCCTTCCCCCCCCCCACATCTATGAAAAAATTTTACATCATTTGATCTCTCACCAATCTGCAAATGAAAGACTACTAACTAGGAGCAAACATGATAAAGTTTGGATCTCATTATTTTGAATTTATGCGTAATTTATTCAGAGTAGGATGTGTTAAAAGTACTAAATTAATTTTGTCAGTTGAAATCATGTGTATATGTTCTCTTATCCCTGTGATGGTCGGTGTTTTAATTCTGCGTTTCCGCCTTAGAACAACGGAATTATTTTTTTTTCAGGTTTTCGGAAATTTGCCTTGGTGTATATGTGATGCAAACCAGCATTGATCCATTGCGTGTATATGTATATTCAGGTGATGTATTACTAAGGTAAGGTAGAATATTTTTTCTTGTCTCTAAAGAAAATAAATTTTTCCTCTTTAATTGCTGAATTTAATTTATGCTTGTATTTCATCTGAGCCATACATTTGATGTATACAGTGAGGCAAATTTTACACATAATATTGATGTTATAGTTAGATAAAATAATCAAATACAAAAATGTAAATATATACAAGAACAAATAAATAAACAAAATACATATTTTAATAATAAAACAATCCTTATTTTTGTCCATTGATTATATGTATTTGCACAGCATACAATTTTGTTATATAAGCTTAAAAGCTTTTATATCGGATAGCATTTTTATTATGTTTTTTCCACTGCGAATAAGGAAATCCAGAAATCTATACAATCTAGATTGACATACCTCGGTGTTACTAGTGCAATTATAGAGATTTTTAATACCTTGTTGCAGATAGATCAAATGGGACAGATTGTACGTGCAGAAGCTCAATGCCAAGACTCCTAACGAGAGATAAAATTCTAATGGTTTTTAATACGTAACAGTTTCGCTTTAAAACCTAATCCTAAGATGCAGGATCATGTGTTAAAAATTTACTCTTTCAGATCGTATTCGTAATATTGTTTTATGAACAAAGTTGCCCTTGAATAAAAAAAGCCGCTTTATTTTGCGAGGCTAATGAATCTTCGATTCTCAAAAGGCCTGGTATTTAGATTTTTGGCCGGGCTGGAGGTCCCTCAGAATGACCTCCAGAACTTTGGCCCCCCTTTTCCTCCCTGTATTTTTGGGTTCTTCCTATTCCTTTGCTAAGAAAATTGTTGCCCGCTTTGTAGGATTCAGTAGTGTATATTTCTGTTTTTTAAGTCATTTCACCATTCCAATGTCTGTTGATACTGGAATTACAAATAATTCCTAATGTAGGTTTTAAAACCCCAAGATGAAAAAAAAATAATACCAAACTTTATATTATTTTGTAGTTGTATTTGTGGTTGGTGTAGACTTAAGCCTGTTTTGATTACCACAAAAGTAACATATTTTTTTGATGTTTTTGTGCGTCGTTTTCAGCTCTTTTGTTGCTCGGACTCGCAGCTTTTTATTTCATGCTGTTCATGAACTTTCATCTCATATTGTTAATTTACAGTCCTTTTAAACTAAATGAACAACATTGACAACACCCACAAACAGAAGAATTAGCAATTTTTAAAAAGATGGTGACAATTGTGGACCAGTAAGTATTTGCTAACAGTACAACTGCTAAAAAGACCCACACCGCGAGGATGCTTCCCTAAAGGCGTCGATGTGAACACCACATCGATAGGATTATCCAAAAGGAAACCCCATTGTGCACACATCACCTAACATGAGATTGTTTATTTCTCGAGTTACAGCCAAAAGACGCTCCGCAGACGCAGAGCGAGCGGCGTAAAGGCCCCTCTTGTTACATGTGCGCATGGCCGCCCTGCCGTTTAGTCCGTAGCCCGTGGTTACTTATGTCTCTAAAAACAGCCGCTTGACTTGGTTAGGTCACGCTTGACTGGTACAGCTTGGCTGAAAAGTTCTACATTTGCTTGGATACATGCATCTCAAATATCTGAACCCAATTATAAATAATGAATCTATCATGATGTAAAGGATTGGTCCCAAACTGGCAACCCATTTGCCACATGTGGGCTCAAAGCAATTTTATGTAGCCAGTGAAAGCATTTCAAATGTACATTTGTTCCAAACACAGTGTTACAAAGATTTCAAGATTTTAGCTATTTAAAGTCCAGATTTATATTATTTTCATTTTCATTAAAAACAAATGTGAATAATGCATCGTAAAATTTTTGCACTAAGAATAATTGTTTGTTTGGGAATACGTTTATATGTGCACAGCGTTTTTTTTTCCCTCAGTTGAAAATTTATTTAAAAAAAGAATGTGATTGACTAATGAGAATGTAATTTCCAGTTGTTTCCAGAAAATTTCGAGTAATTTCTGTCCAAGGCTACAAACTGTATCAGAATAATCTAAATGCCATCTAATGTCAAAGCATAAGAAATCAGTGTATCCTTAGACATACACATACTTTGTATAACAGATTTTGTATTATTTCTTATCTTGTTATTTTTTTTTTTTAGTTGTGAAGAGAAGTTCTCTTGAGATTTTCATTTTTTTTTCGAGTTTTGTTTAGTTTTAGCGCAAGGTTTCTTATGAAAAGAAAGTTTGTCATTTTTTCGTTTAATAATTTTCCTTTTTGTATGTTGTTTTTTAAAAGAAGTTACGTGACGCTGTATAAGAATTTAATAATTGTTTTTTTCTTTTTTTTGTTATTTTTTTTGGCCAGAATCCTTTGTTTTTGTTTTTTCTGTTTCTTTGTTTTCTTGCATTTTGCATTGGCCTTTTGATTTTGGTGCCTTTTCACGGTTTGATGCTTTAAGGTTTGTTTAAAAAATTTCATTTACTCTGTTAAGTAAAGCAGAAAAAATTAGAAAAAAAAAAAGTTCTTTTGGCTTTTTAATTTCTTTCATGATTTCGCATTTCGAAATGTTTATCAAAGCGTATCTTTTGCATTTATATAGAAAAGTAGAAGAATTTATTGCTGCATAGTGGGAATAAAAGAGTGAGATTAACTAAATCTAAAAAGATTCTCAAGTTTAATAAAGTACAATTAATTCCGCTTTGAATAAACAAAATGTGCGGCATGCCAATTGAAAGGAATAAAGTATAAACGTCTCAAAGCAAATCCAAGCTCAAGAAGTTTATATCAGTTGTTTCACAAAAATAAAAAGCGGATGAGAAAAGGAATGTAAAATTCCAATATTTGAAGAAAAGAAAAATGTAAAGCTTTACCTAAAAACTTAAAGTAGTACAGTACAACTGTAAAATACAAGTGTGTTTAGGTTTCTGCATCAACTTAGTTTTTTGTTTCAAAATTAAAATTAATTGTATTATTTAAATCTTCAGTCAGCACAGTTTAATTCCTCTATCTGTTTAAAAATACAGGAGTACCTCAGGTACACCACATTGACTAAAGGGTTAAGAATAGTGTTAGCTTTTTAAAAAAAAAAATAAAATGCTATGATATTATGTCTTATCATATGCTGTATTTTAAGATCTCTTTAGCATAAGAATAGGCTGTCTGATATGTGTTTCTATGGTTTTCCCCATGTATAATCTGAGCCAGCCCAAACCTTAGGCAGACAGCCAAAGTGTATTTTGCCATAATCTAATAAATCCACTTCAGTACATTTAATATGGTAATTCGAATTCTACATTGCTCATTTAAACTGATCTTGGAGGAATAGTAAATGTTTAAATTTTATGCTATTTTTATTTGTTTGCTGCTGCTTGTTGAGTCCTTCAACCTACAGGTACAAAAATTATTAATTTTTCACACATATTACAACTCATTCTATCTCATGATATTTATTTGATAAAATATGAATTTAACTTTCTTTTATTATTTGACAAAACATGCCAATGTTTTAAAACCATGTATCATGTATTGTTACATTTTCCATTCTTTCATACCATAGATTTTGCAAGAAGGATTACTATCCCTTAAACCCAAACGATTTTGAATCATATATTGTTGGTGATGATTATTTACCTGTTTGGGAGGTAAGAGAGTTATTGTAAAGAATTTGAATTAATAAAACTGTCAGTTGAGTCTCTGAATCTTTTTATTTTATGATTATATTTATTTCAATCACGAAGAGAATAATTAATGTTTTATTTTATTTTTAAATTATAATTTTTTATGTAGTTTACATAATACAAGAAATTCATTATTTGAGAGTATCATTTTGAGATATAAGCTAATTTTGTTTAACTAATAGTTTGAAGATTATAGCTAGTAATTAAAATTTAATATTTTACTTGGAATAAAATGTAAATTACTCTCAACATTGTTCATCGTTTTCAAATAAATAAGAACACAAGTGTCAAATTTATTTTTTAAAATTTATATTTTGATAAACAGTGTGTATTATATCTAAATGAAATACAATAGATCCCAAGGCTATAAAAATAACAGTAAATCTCAAATAGATTGCATAAATGATGAAGCTGTGTACAAGGGTTTTAGTTTCATTTCACTTTAAAGAACATAAAATATATTCTTACTGTACAGAGATGTTCTGATATGCTTTAGTATACTGCAGTTTAAGTTATATGTTATGAAAGTTATAAAAACACTTGATGACATGTTATTATTTTGTCAAGATAATGCTTTGATTTCTAGGGCTAGGTTATTGAGTTTTTTATTGTTATTGTGCCTAAAGTTTTAAAATATTTTACACAGGAGGTCGTGATTAATTATTTTTTTCTCTGACAATTATACAAATATTTAAAAGTATAAGTTTTCTTTGTACTTATACAGAGTATATTGTGGGGTTTCAATCTTTGTCTAACAGCTAAGTGTGTAGGAACCTCATGAACTGGTAAGCGAATAATCGCTTTAGTTCGGAAACAGAGACGTAAACTCAAGAAGGGTTAATTATCCTTTATTTCTCAAAACAAGAATTTAACAGTTGGCTGAAGTAGTTGGCTCCTAAATATCAACTAAACTGGTGAAGCTATCAATTGCCTGAAATACAGCCAAGCATAGTAATAGCTTAGAGAGAGTGTAGCCAAATAGCAAATGCGCACAAGTCAGAATCTATAGCTCTCTAACGAAGTCAATGGAACTTCGACTTAAATACCGCTCTTACTCATTTGCATTAAACACTATTCTAAAATCACATTCTGATAGGAAATTGTAAGCTGAAATTAGGAGGGATAGGAAAGTAGCTTTAACTAAAGAGATAACTGTTAAAAATTTAGGATAAACCTTACATCTTTCCCCATCAGAATTTAAATACTCGAAGAATAAGATCTCAAAACGACCTTGTTTAAGAATTCAAATTCTCAAAACTTCTTAAAGTTGAATGTCAAACTTATAACATTGTGCATTTTTCAGACAGTTTTAAAATTTAAACTATTCTGTTTAGGGCCAACTTTACAAACATATCTATAAGTAGACTAAAAATAAGAAAGATATCTTTACAATTTGGACTGGAACAGACATCTGCTTCTTTTTGTGTTTGATCAAGATATTCTGATTATGTCCTTCCAAATTATCTGGAAGGAAACAATATTAGTCTACATTTTACAAATATTTCTAATTCCTTATAATTACTCTTTATTGATATTTTTTTGGCCCTGAAACACTCTTCATTCATTCATATTTTAACTCCCGTTCTATCCACACTCTCCAGGAATTTCGTTCTGACTTAACTGAGTGTGTTGTTGTGTTACTGCGAATACATGCCACCACTAAACATCATCTAGACATCTATCATTTGTTAAAACTGGACATTCTAGACCTTAGAAGACTCCCTAAACACAAAACTATACCTAATGTGCTAAAAGAGAGCTTGACTTGAACTTTTAAGTATTAGCTGGAGAGCCTAACTTTAAACACACACATTCTATACATTCATTTCTACCACATTTTTCACTTGCACTTTGACCAAAGTTATTTTACCTTTTGTACAAGTTTAATTTTAAGGTACTTTACAACTAATATTTAAAATTTCTATTTTCAATACAACAATTTTAGCATTTTTAACATATAACATTTTAAAATTCATTTTACACCATTGTTATAGTTACTACATGCAATTTACAATATTTTCCTAACATCTTAGTTTGAAGTTAACAATTTTTACCATTAACTGAAGTGTTCTGATTAAAAGATATTCACAAACTAAATTCTCGCAAACTTGCAAATTCTCAAAAAGAGATATTTACAAACTAAATTCTCGGCAACTTGCGGATAAAAAAATCTTTTTGTTTAAAAGATAATTACAACTAAATTCTGGCAACATTGCAAATTCGAACTTTTTGCTTTAAACAGCATTTAGCAACTTTAAACACCATGACATACATTGAACTTTCAATTCAAAATAGGCAAACAAGGAAAATTTTCACTTATCTTTTTTTCTTCTAAACTCCTCCATCCTAATCAAGCAAAACTCTTCAAAGGTCACGTCAGTGCCTGCGGTTTCCTCCTTCAGCTTGGCTGGTTTGTTCCCTTCATAGGAATCCACTTGCGTTTTTTTCCCCATGTCGATGAACCTGGCAGCCTTCCGGACTGGTTGCGGGTTTTGAAACTGGAGTTTTCTCTTTACCTCTTGGGGGCCACTTTGTTCAGGGTCTTTAAACCTCTGCTTGGCTCTTTTATTTTGTTGAAGCGTCACAGCTCCCGCATCGGCTGTTCTTTTAGTCTTTGTGATCCTTTGGTCTGAAGCTCCTTTGACCCTCTTGTAGTGGTTGCTGCCGAGAAACTTCAGACTGTCTTTTGTTGAATCTGGACCTCGTTGTTGTGGTACTCATTTTACTGGAACAGCATCCGCTGTTCTTTTTTTTTTTTTACCGCTGGTACTGGCCTTGGTTGTGGATCATATCTCCTGGCAGGTTCTTTCGTAGGTTTTACTTTCCTCTTTTTTGCTGACCCTAGATCTTGTGATGGTTGGATATGTTTGGCCAGTGATTCTTCCGCACTTTCGGCCTGCTTCTTTTTTGCTGTTGGGGTGTTCCAGCTTGGAGTCTCACTCGGTAAAATTCTTGGCTTGCTTCTAGAATCTTGCAATAAATTTTGTAAAACTTGGAAGTCAGTACGACTATAATGTGGCTTTATCTGGTCAATATTAGCAATTTCTTACTGGCCGTTTGCAGCCTTTAAATAAAAAATTGAATATTTAATTCCCTCAATAATTCATTGAGGCCTTCAAACATTGGTTCAAATTTTGCAACTCTGTTTTCGGGTGCAGACGATAATGAATGTTTCAATTTTAGTACTTTTTCTACATCCTGTCTATTTCTGTCGTAGTACAGCTTGTGTTTCTGTCTTGCTACATCGTAATTTTTCAATTTAAATTCTTCTTGCCTTTGCTGTACAATAAAAAAATTGTCCAAAGGCATTAAAATCTTTCTTCCTAAAAACAGTTCCACAGGGTTTTTTTTGTGTAGTATCCTGCTTTGCTGTTCTTAAGGCAAAACCTAACTCATTGACACGGCTGTCGTGGTAATTCTTAACATATCCCCGAATAATTTTTACAACATTCTTATTTACACGTTCTGCAATATTTGATTGCAGTCTTTATGGTACGGTACTGTTTTTAGATGGCATATGCCAAGTCCTGTGGAAAAATTTCTAAATAAATTACTCGCGAATTGCCTTGCCTCCCATTGTCTGATATTCTTTTTATTGGGGCTCCATATTTTAAAATATACTTATATAGAAACGAATCTGCTACTATTTTTGCTGATACTCGTTTAAGAGGGACTGTTTCCACCCACTTTGAGAAATGATCTACTATGGTTAAAAAATATTTGTTTATTAATTTTTGTTCTAGGATAAGATTTGGGAAAATCAGTGCCAACCATTCATTTGGAAAAGTGTCGTTTATTAATTGGCACAAGTGACACAACCTGACATACGCCATAACCATCCTCTGCAACTGCGGGAAATAAACCATTTGTGGACCCTTTGTAAAGTTTTTCTAATTCATTAATGACCTGAAATTGACGAATCGTGCAGCTCCTCTAAAATATTTAAGTGTAGACTCGCTGGGATCACTGGCCGCTATTCTTGATTCTCATTAGTTATTTTCGTGTAAAACAGTAATTTATCAACAATTTCATAATGAGCCGCCCTATTGCGAATAGCCATTAAATCCACACGTTCAATATGTTCAGGTTCTTCAAGATACGCATAAATATCCTTGAATTCAGGGTCCGTTTTTAATTCCAAAATTTTTGTTTCACTGGACTCAATTACTTTAGATATTAGCATAGCACATCAAATTGTATTTCCTTCTTCATCAGTCTTAATTCTTGATAGCAAATCAGCAATTACCTTTTACTCTCCCTGGTGTATGTTTGTTGATTAAACTAAACTCTTGCAGTTTTAACATCCACCGTATAAGCCGGGGTGAAAGATTTTTGCACGAATGCAAGCAACCAACTGCTGCAGGTCTGAGTATACCATTATCGGGGAGCTTCTGAAATAAACGCGGAATTTTTGCACCGCTAGTAAGACAGCAAGAGGTTCTTCCTCAGTTGCCAAGTAAGTCCTTTGAGTTTGATTAAGCTAGAAAAATTTTGCTAGAAAAAGCTATTTGCTGCCCATTTTGAGAGAGAACTGTGCCAATTATGTAATCCGCTGCAATCTCGAAATTTTGGTTCCCTACTGGGAATTTAAGAACTGAGGCGTTGATTAAGGCGTTTTTCAGTTGTTCAAAAGCTGTGTTTGTCTCAGGTGTCCACGTGAATCTAGTTTTTTTTTTTTCCCCCCCGTTTGAGAACTAACAAGGGTTCAACTATCTTCGCAAAGTCTTTTATAAATACTCTATAATATGAACACATGTCCAAAAAGATAATTTCTTGGCTGTGTTTAGAGGTGGATAATACTTAATTGCTAATATTTTAGAATTATCGGTCTCGTTAATTTTTTTTAGATTTAATAACCTAAGTACTGAAGCTCCTTGGCAGTAAACTTGCACTTCTTCTGGTTTACCTTGAAGCCGGCCTCATTTAACAAAGTAAAAACTTCCTCCAAATGTTTAATGTGTTCG